TTCTCCTAATTTCCACACTCTGAATTTTCTGCATAATATTTACACCACACATTGCCCTTAGACAGGACATCTCCACTGCCTCCAACCGTCTCCTCGCTGCTGCATTTACCCACCCAAGCTTCACATCCATATAAGAGTGTTGGTACTATTATACTTTCATACATTCCCTTCTTTGCCTCCATAGATAACGTTTTTTGACTCCACATATACCTCAATGCACCACTCACCTTTTTTCCCTCATCAATTCTATGATTAACCTCATCCTTCATAAATCCATCCACCGACACGTCAACTCCCAAGTATCTGAAAACATTCACTTCTTCCATACTCCTCCTCCCCAATTTGATATCCAATTTTTCTTTATCTAATTCATTTGATACCCTCATCACCTTACTCTTTTTATGTTCACTTTCAACTTTCTACCTTTACACACATTCTCAAACTCATCCACTAACCTTTGCAATTTTTCTTTAGAATCTCCCATAAGCACAGTGTCATCAGCAAAAAGTAACTGTGTCAATTCCCATTTTGAAATTGATTCCCCATAATTTAATCCCATCCCTCTCCCGAACACCCTAGCATTTACTTCTTTTACAACCCCATCTATAAATATATTAAACAACCATGGTGACATTACACATCCCTGTCTAAGACCTACTTTTACCGGAAGTATTCTCCCTCTCTTCTACACACCCTAACCTGAGCCTCACTATTCCTCATAAAAGCTCTTTACAGCATTTAGTAACTTACCCACCTATTCCATAAACTTGCAACATATGCCACATTGCTCCTCTATCCACTCTATCATATGCCTTGTCTAAATCCATAAATGCAATAAAAACTTCCCTACCTTTATCTAAATACTGTTCACATATATGCTTCAATGTAAACACTTGATCTACACATCCCTACCCACTCTGAAGCCTCCTTGCTCATCCGCAATTCTACATTCTGTCTTACTCTAATTCTTTCAATTATAACCTACGTATACTTTTCCTGGTATACTCAATAAACTTATTCCTCTATAATTTTTACAATCTCTTTTGTCCCCTTTCCCTTTATATAAAGGGACTATACATGCTCTCCGCCAATCCCTAGGTACCTTCCCCTCTTCATACATTTATTAAACAAAAGTACCAACCACTCCAACACTATATCCCCCCCCTGCTTTTAACATTTTCTGTCATGATCCCATCAGTTCCAGCTGCTTTACCCCCTTTCATTCTACGTAATGCCTCACGTACCTCCACCACACTTACATTCTGCTCTTCTTCACTCCTAAAAGATGGTATACCTCCCTGGCCAGTGCATGAAATTACCGCCTCCCTTTCTTCCTCAACATTTAAAAGTTCCTCAAAATATTCTCGCCATCTACCTAATACCTCCCTCTCCCCATCTACTAACTCCCCTACTCTGTTTTTAACGGAGAAATCCATACTCTCCCTAGGCTTTCTTAACTTGTTTAACTCACTCCAAATTTTTTCTTATTTTCATTAAAATTTCTTGACAGTGCCTCTCCCACTCTTTCATCTGCTCTCCTTTTGCACTCTCTCACCACTCTCTTCACCTTTCTTTTACTCTCCATATACTCTGCTCTTCTTAAAACACTTCTGCTTTGTAAAAACCTCTCGTAAGCTACCTTTTTCTCTTTTATCACACCCTTTACTTCATCATTCCACAATCACTCCTGTTTCCTCCTGCCCCCACTCTCCTATAACCACAAACTTCTGCCCCACATTCTAATACTGCATTTTTAAAACTATTCCAACCCTCTTCAACCCCCCCACTTACTCATCTTTGCACTAGCCCACTTTCTGCCAATAGTCGCTTATATCTCGCCCGAACTTCCTCCTCCCTTAGTTTATACACTTTCACCTCCCTCTTACTTGTTGTTGCCACCTTCCTCTTTTCCCATCTACCTCTTACTCTAACTGTAGCTACAACTAAATAATGATCTGATATATCAGTTGCCCCTCTATAAACATGTACATCCTGGAGCCTACCCATCAACCTTTTATCCACCAATACATAATCTAACAAACTACTTTCATTACGTGCTACATCATACCTTGTATATTTATTTATCCTCTTTTTTCATAAAATATGTATTACTTATTACCAAATTTCTTTCTACACATAGCTCAGTTAAAGGCTCCCCATTTACATTTACCCCTGGCACCCCAAATTTACCTACTACTCCCTCCATAACATTTTTACCCACTTTAGCATTGAAATCCCCAACCACCATTACTCTCACACTTGATTCAAAACTCCCCACGCATTCACTCAACATTTCCCAGAATCTCTCTCTCTCCTCTACACTTCTCTCTTCTCCAGGTGCATACACGCTTACTATAACCCACTTTTCACATCCAATCTTTATTTTACGCCACATAATCCTTGAACTTATGCATTTGTAGTCCCTCTTTTCCTGCCATAGCTTATCCTTCAACATTATTGCTACTCCTTCTTTAGCTCTAACTCTATTTGAAACCCCTGACCTAATCCCATTTATTCCTCTCCATTGAAACTCTCCCACCCCCTTCAGCTTTGTTTCACTTAAAGCCAGGACATCCAGTTTCTTCTCATTCATAACATCCACAATCATCTCTTTCTTATCATTTGCACAACATCCACACACTTTCAGACTTCCCACTTTGACAATTTTCTTCTTCTTATTCTTTTTAGTAATCTTTACAGGAAAAGGGGTTACTAGCCCATTGTTACCGGCATTTTAGTTGACTTTTACAACACGCATGGCTTACGGAGGAAAGATTCTTATTCCACTTCCCCATGGATATAAAAGGAAAAGTAATAAGACCAAGAACTATTAAGATAAAATCAAAGAAAACTCAGATGAGTGTGTATAAATAAACGTGTACATGTATGTGTAGTGTGACCTAAGTGTAAGTAGAAGTAGCAAGACGTACCTGTAATCTTGCATATTTATGAGACAGACAAAAGACACCAGCAATCCTACCATCATGTAAAACAATTACAGGCTTTCATTTTACACTCACTTGGCAGGACGGTAGTACCTCCCTGGGTGGTTGCTGTCTACCAACCTACTACTGTATAACCCACTTTTCACATCCAACCTCTATTTTACTCCACATAATCCTTGAATTAATACAGTTCTAGTCCCTCTTTTCCTGCTATAGCCTATCCTTCAACATTATTGCTACTCCTTTAGCTCTAACTCTATTTGAAACCCCTGACCTAATCCCATTTATTCCTCTCCACTGAAACTCTCCCTTCTCATTCATAACATCCACAATCATCTCTTTCTTATCATATGCACAACTTCCATGCACATTCAGACTTCCCACTTTGACAATTCTCTTCTTATTCTTTTTAGTAGTTATTACAGGAAAAGGGGTTACTAGCCCATTGTTCCCGGCATTTTAGTTGACTTTTACAACACTTACAGAGGAAAGATTCTTATTCCACTTTCCCATAGATATAAAAGGAAAAGTAATAAGACCAAGAACTATTAAGATAAAATCAAAGAAAACTCAGATGAGTGTGTATAAATAAACATGTACATGTATGTGTAGTGTGACCTAAGTGTAAGTGAAAGTAGCAAGATGTACCTGTAATCTTGCATATTTACGAGACAGACAAAAGACACCAGCAATCCTACCATCATGTAAAACAATTACAGGCTTTTGTTTTACACTCACTTGGCAGGACAGTAGTACCTCCCTGGGTGGTTGCTGTCTACCAACCATGGGGAAGTGGAACAGAATTCTTCCTCCGTAAGCCATGCGTGTTGTAAGAGGCGACTAAAATGCCGGGAGCAAGGGGCTATTAACCCCTTCTCCTGTACAGATTACTAAATTTAAAAAGAAAAACTTTAGTTTTTCTTATTAAATTTAGTAATTTGTTCAGGAGAAGGGGTTAATAGCCCCAAAAAGAAAATCTTTCGTTTTTCTTTTTGGGCCACCCTGCCTTGGTGGGATACAGCCAGATTGTTGAAAAAAAAAAGTATATATTTATACATATATATATATTTTTTTTAACAAGTCGGCCATCTCCCACTGAGGCAGGGTGGCCCAAAAAGAAAGAAAATCCCCAAAAAGAAAATACTTTCATCATCATTCAACATTTTCACCTCACTCACACATAATCACCATTTTTGCAGAGGTGCTCAGAATACAACAGTTTAGAAGCATATACGTATGAAGATACACAACATATCCCTCTAAACTGCCAATATCCCAAACCCCTCCTTTATATATAGATAAGTTTTTGTCCTTCAATCCTAATAATAATTAATATTGTTTAATATATAAGTACATGCTGGCCCAAGGTTTATGTTTTCAGAGTAATTTTATAACCCCTAGACAGCAGTGTGAGCAGGCTTTAGGAGCCAGGAACATTTTATTTAAGTTACGACATCGAAGTCCGTAACAGAGCCCAAGCAGTCTTCAGTATGTGAGAAGACAGTATGGTTTGTCTTATCTGTTAGCAATACAGTATATTAAGTATTTAAGAATTTATAATTACCCAGTAAGCTGCTAGGTTTGATAATCATCATTAGTAGAATGTTCTTCTGCAGTACTGGTGCTCAGCTAGGCCTGCCAGCTAATTACTATTGCCCACACCAAGCTAAATTGCCTTTCCACTCATGAGCAAGTGAAAACATGTTGCTGTAAATGCTGGTGCCACATACTACGGGTTATTACTTAAATAATGTCTAGTTTGTAAGTCATTAATTCATAAGATACATTTCAGGGCCTCCCCTGATTTCCTTGTATTTACTCTTGATTTGTGCAAGACAGTATTTTTAATAAATTAACAATAGATGTATTTCAAGAGTGCAGTATCCCCCATTCAGTAGAGGCACATCTGTAAACAACAGTATAGTACTTGTTTTAACATGGAGATGATCAGATTATTATGTAAAGGATTGTAAATCACAATAAACATTAATATGCCATTGTTGTGATTGATTCCATGCATTTATCACACATTAAAATTGTATTTTTTTATATTAGGTATTATACATCAATCCAAATGCTTGTAATCCTACTGGAGTGTCCTGCACTGAGGAACGACGTCGGGAGATTTATAAAATTGCATCAGAATATAATCTCATCATTCTTGAAGATGACCCATATTATTTTGTACAGTTTGGAGGTATGAAGGTAAGCTATACAATAATTAAAAGGTTATTTTCCAAGACAATAAATTAGGTTACAAAGGCAGGTTTACAGTGATTATTTCTTCAGTGGAAAAGCCCATACCTATGTAGTGTATTTTAGGCTTATAAAAGCTAGAGCCAATATTAATGATAAACAATGGAAAAAAATATATTGCACCAACTGAATGTATGTATATAAAGGATTGGATGTGTAACACATACAAAAATATTTATACAACATTTAGGGTCAGTTCAAAAAGATTAAAAAAGTAATAATGAGATAATGTTGTAATACTGTATACTAGTACCTGTGCTCTGAAGGATGGGCAGGGATATTACTGTTTGTTATAAGGTCATTGGAATTGTAATATTTGCACACTTTTGGCAATACTGATACTGAATGAATTTTTTTTTTTTTTTTTGGGGGTCACCATACCTTGGTGGGAGACATCCACCATGGTAAAAAAAATAAAAAAGCAAAATTATTGATTTCTAAGTTTTGTGATGGTTGATGTACAAGTTGTTATGAACATGAGGAGATAAGCGAATTTCTCGTGTATTTATTTATTTGTAACTACAGAGCAGAGCTAAGGTCGTGGTGTCCTGTCATTGGTATTTGGTTTATCAGATACTGTAATTTGTGAAACTTTCCAGTGGTTGTAGGGACTTCCTACATCCTTTTCTTATTTATACCTTTTTATAGTAGTAGGATTAATTTTTGTTCTGATTGTACAGTGTGTGTGTGTGTGTGTGGGGGGGGGAATTGCAGGAGTCAGGTCACAGCTCCTGGCTCTACCAGGTACTGTGTGGTATGATTGTATGCAAATACATATTACAGTGGACCCCCGCATAGCGAACGCCTTGCATAGCGAACAATCCGCATAGCGAACGCTTTGTTCGCCAAAATTTTGCCCCGCATAGTGGACAAAAACCCGCTCAGCGACCTTCGTCCGAGACGCGTCCAATGTGCGGCCTCAGCCAGCCTCACATGTGCCGCCCGTCCCATTGTTTACCAGCCAGCCTCCGCGGTAACATTCAAGCATACACTCGGATATATTTCGTATTATTACAGTGTTTTCGGTGCTGTTTCTGGAAAATAAGTGACCATGGCCCCAAGAAAGCTTCTAGTGCCACCCTGTGGTAAAAAGGGTGAGAATTAGTATGGAAATTAAGAAAGATTTTGAAGGGTTTGGGACTAACCCTGAGAAGCCTATGCCAGTTGTGGAATCCATTGTGCTACTCAAAAATTAAGGAAATGTGTGCACAGTGGGTTGAATGCAAACCTTTTGGATGAAAATCACCCTGACACGCTGTTGCAAGCCGTGCTGGTGACTATTTCAATGACAATGTTATGGCCCATTTTAGACAAAATCGTAAAGAAAACGGGAGTACAGATGCACCATGAATTTGTTGTAGGATGGTCAGTGAACTCTAAGTTTGTATCCTAGTAGCAAAAAGAAAAGTAATTGAGATAAGTAACCGTATAAGGCCTGTGCTCCTGAAGGGTCTACTAATGGCATTGGGTAATTTTCCCATTTTCTAAACATACTAAGAATCTTTTTTTTCTTTCCCTCTTTCACCATACCTTGGAATCATCACCAATGGTAAAAAATAAAAAGTAAGATTATTGATTTAATTTGTGATGCCTTGATTCATTTTGTTTGACTAAGATTAAGCAATTTTCTGGGGTATTTATAAAAAAAAGCTATAGTCTGGTTTGTTGGTCTTGGCACAGATATTAATTTTAGTTTCCATTAATTTCTTTCTTATTAAACTTTTGTATAGTGTAAGCAATTTTTGTCATAGACCAGCTTTCTTGGGCATCGGATATAAGCTTCTCTACAGGTCGGGGGGGTTTCCATGTATATGATTGTGTCTGTTTATATACTTTCATTTATTTTTTATTTTTTATTTTATTAACACAATCAGCCATTTCCCACCAAGGCAGGGTGGCCTGTAAAAGAAAAACTTTCATCTTCATTCACTCCATCACTGTCTTGCCAGAGGCATGCTTACACTACAGTTGTAAAACTGCAACATTAAGACCCTCCTTCAGAGTGCCAGCACTGTACTTCCCATCTCCAGGAATCAAATCTGGTCTGCCAGTTTCCCAGAATCCCTTCATAAATGTTACCTTGCTTACACTCATTTATTTATGACTATGAAAACCATAATGCAGTATTTGGATATTTTCTGTATATGCAAGTAAGTGTTTTAGTAACACAGCACATTTTCTTTCAGGACTTTTCTCCAAGTTTTCTCAGTATGGATACTGATGGACGAGTATTAAGATTTGACTCCTTTTCTAAAATTTTGAGCTCCGGACTTAGAATAGGCTATGTCACAGGACCAAAGCCACTTATTGAAAGGATTGTACTACATCGCACAGGTTTCTGTTCTACATGCTCCGGCCATGTCACAGGTCAGTGTTTAACCCTTTAACCCTTTCAGTATTGCGACCTCTGCTCGCAAATTTGCTCACAGGGTCGAAGAATTTAAAAAAAAAAATTATCTTATGAAATGATATAAATCTTTTTCCAAAGGTAATGAAACCAAAAGTATGAGATTTGATGGAAAACTTATGGAATTATGCTCTTGCAAAGTTAGCAGTCTTGGTGATATTTGCGCTTCTGCAATTTTGCCCACTTTATGCTCCATTTTTGGCAATTCCATTGTTCCAGTCAACCATTCTATTTGTTCTCATTCTATTGAATGAGTACAAAAAACTGCCCATTTACCTATTTTAACTACCCAAGTGATCAGAAATTGGTAATTTGGCCAATTTCACACAAAATTCAAAAATTGCCTATCTCAAAATAAGGTCAAGAATAAACAATGTAGACATTCCTGGTAGTAAATATACATTTTCTCTGCTCCTCAGTCATGTCTCCAGGCCCCCCTTACATTACATTACTGTAATAATTGTATAAATAATGTCATTGCATTCCTAAATGTGTATTAGACTAGCCAGTGGGATGTGTATTGGACGAACTCTGGAATATCGGCAAAAATAGAATATTTCTGCTTCTTTGAGCTCAATTTCAAGCTACTTTCAGTCCTGAATCTAATCAGTCATCTGTATTTCTGTAATATTTCTTCCACTCTATCAAATGAAACGAAGAAACCGAGAATACAACCATAAAAACCATACGAAAATACTGTACACCACAAAATTGCTGATTTAAACCAAAAAAAAGTCATTTTTTTTTCTCATTATGCACTGTGTGTTGTGACACTTTTTTTACATAATGCACACTTACCATATACATTCATTCTCTCATATCTAGGCTGAAATTTACCACTCACAGCTTATCTGAGTGAGCTGAGCTCATGTTGTTGTACTTTGGGATTGACACTGGCTTGAAAGCTGCGATACAATGGGGCCGACACTGATAAGGTTAATGTGAAATTTCTTTTTTTTTTTTTTAGGAATTATCTATAGATGAACAAAACAGAATATTTTTTGTTTTTACACAGTTCAGTTTTATTGTCTGAGAGTACATAGTTATTGTCCTTTGGCTTATTTCTAAGCCTGGTCATATCTAAGGTATATTAGCACACTTAGACTGCCACAGTAAGAGTGAGTAAGTACAGTACCTCTTAACCCTTTCAGGGTTTCTGACATACTAGTGCGGCTTACGCACCAGGGTTTTTGATGTACTAGTACGCCTAAATTCTAGCGCCCTCAAATCTAGTGAGAGAAAGCTGGTAGGCCTACATATGACAGAATGGGTCTATGTGGTCAGTGTGCGCAGTATAAAAAAATCCTGCAGAACACAGTGCGTAATGAGAAAAAAAAACTTTGACAATGTTTTTGGTTTAAAACAGCGACTTTGCACTGTATTTTCGTATGGTATTTATTGTTGTATTCTAGTTGTCCTGGTCTCATTTTATAGAATGGAAGACATATTACAGAAATTGAGATGATTTTGACTGGTTTTACATTGAAAAGTACCTTGAAATTTAGCTCAAAGTAGCAGAAATCTTTGATTTTTGCCAAAGTTCAAAAGTAAACAAATCATGCTACGCATCCAATACACATCAACTGGTGAGTCTAATATTCTTTCACAAGTGCGCTGATATTATTTATACCATTTCTACACTAATGCAGTAGTCTGCTTAACAGTAAATCTATTTTTGTGAGAATAAAAATTCAAAGTGGAAAGCAAAAGAATGTAAGAGGGGAATGGGGACATGACTAATGAACAGAGCAAATGTTATTTTAGTGCCAGGAATGTCTTTCTTGTTTATTCTGGACCCTATTTGGAAATTGGCATCTTTTGAAATTTGTGTGAAATTGGCAAAATTGCTAAATTCTGACCACTTTAATGGATAGTTGAAATCAGTAAATAGGTGGTTTCTTGTACTCATTCGATAGAAAAAATGGAGTTCTAGCGAAATAGTTATGATTTTTGTCGACTAGTACACTGGAATTGGCCAAAAATAGGGCTCAAAGGGGGCAAAATCGCCGATGCGTAAACATCGTTGAGACCGCTAACTTCGTGAGAGCATAATTCCGTAAGTTTTCCATCAAATTTCATACTTTTGGTGTCATTATGATCAGGAATAGATTCTCTATCTTTTCATAATTTTTTTTTTTTTTTTTTTTTGAAAATTTGTCGACCCTGAGAACATGTCTGGGAGAGGGCCTGTCGACCCTGAAAGGGTTAAATGGTACTGTACCTATTCACTGCTGGTGAATAGGGGATGTATATGTAAGGAAACTTGCCAATAATAATTAATAATAATTAATAATAATTAATAAGATTCTAAAGAAAAATTGCAAAGGTTAGTGGATGAGTTTGGGAATGTGTGTAAAGGTAGAAAGTTGAAAGTGAATATAGAAAAGAGTAAGGTGATGAGGGTATCAAATGATTTAAATAAAGAAAAATTGGATATCAAATTGGGGAGGAGGAGTATGGAAGAAGTGAATGTTTTCAGATACTTGGGAGTTGACGTGTCGGCGGATGGATTTATGAAGGATGAGGTTAATCATAGAATTGATGAAGGAAAAAAGGTGAGTGGTGCGTTGAGGTATATGTGGAGTCAAAAAACGTTATCTATGGAGGCAAAGAAGGGAATGTATGAAAGTATAGTAGTACCAACACTCTTATATGGGTGTGAAGCTTGGGTGGTAAATGCAGCAGCGAGGAGACGGTTGGAGGCAGTGGAGATGTCCTGTTTAAGGGCAATGTGTGGTGTAAATATTATGCAGAAAATTTGGAGTGTGGAAATTAGGAAAATGTGTGGAGTTAATAAAAGTATTAGTCAGGGCAGAAGAGGGGTTGTTGAGGTGGTTTGGTCATTTAGAGAGAATGGATCAAAGTAGAATGACATGGAAAGCATATAAATCTATAGAGGAAGGAAGGCGGGGTAGGGGTCGCCCTCAGAAGGGTTGGAGAGAGGGGGTAAAGGAGGTTTTGTGGGTGAGGGGCTTGGACTTCCAGCAAGCGTGCGTGAGCGTGTTAGATAGGAGTGAATGGAGACGAATGGTACTTGGGACCTGACGATCTGTTGGAGTGTGAGCAGGGTAATATTTAGTGAAGGGATTCAGGGAAACCGGTTATTTTCATATAGTCGAACTTGAGTCCTGGAAATGGGAAGTACAATGCCTGCACTTTAAAGGAGGGGTTTTGGATATTGGCAGTTTGGAGGGATATGTTGTGTATCTTTATACGTATATGCTTCTAAACTGTTGTATTCTGAGTACCTCTGCAAAAACAGTGGTAATGTGTGAGTGATGTGAAAGTGTTGAATGATGATGAAACTATTTTCTTTTTGGGGATTTTCTTTCTTTTTTGGGTCACCCTGCCTCGGTGGGAGACGGCCGACTTGTTGATAAAAAAAATAATAATAATAATAGTAATTATGCAGAGAATTTGTAGTTTTGAGACAGGATTACTAAAAGTATTAACCAGAGAGCTGAGTAGGGGTTGTAGAGGTGATTTGGACATTTAGAGAGAATGGAGCAAAATAGGATGACTTGGAGGGTGTATAAATCTGTAGTGGAGGGAAAGTGGGGTAGGAGTTGCCCTAGGAAAGGTTGGAGGGGGTAAAGGAGATTTTGTATGTGAGGGGCTTGGGCATCCAGCAGGCATTTTTTGAGTGTGCTCGATAGGAAGGACTGAGTGGAGGTGAGTAGTTTTTATGACTTGACATTCTGTTTGAGTGTGAGTAAGGTAACATTTATGAAGGGGTTCAGGGATAACATTTATGAAGGGGTTCAGGGAAACCAGTTAGCTGGACTTGAGTCCTGTAGGTGGGAAGTACAGTGCCTGCACTCTGAAGGAAGGTTGGGGATATTTGCAGTTTGGAGGGGCATCTGAACTGTAGCATCAGTGTGGCTCTGGCAAGACAGTGGTTAGTGTGAGTGATGGTGAAAGTGTTTCTTCTTTTTCAGATCATTCTGCCTCGGTGGGAGATAGCCAGTGTGTTAAAAAAAATATATAATAAATTATCCAAAAACATACATAATTATTACAGAGATGGGTTGAGAGTATTTTTTTTTTTTTTTTTTTAAATCCCATAATTATGTATAGTATATTGGCAGACTTTAACCCTTAATCCAAACATAGATCTACATTCATGTGCGTAATGCTCCAAACATAGATCTACGTTTTTTTACGTGCTTTTTAAGTGGGGAAAATAAAGGTCGGAGCGCTACGCGCGTGAACGTAGATCTACATTTGGACAGTTTAAGGGTTAACCAAGACAAGACTAAATAATTAAATTATACAGGTGAAGTTATAACAGTTGAAATGATGAGTTTTATACTGTAATATATAACCTAATTTTAGGTAATCTAGCATTAAAGTATTCTAAACTAGTCTATTGTTGTAGGTATTAGTGAGTGAGTTACTGCAGATTTGGGGAGTGGATGGGTTCTTGAAGCATACACAAACAGTGCAAGAGTTCTACCTCAAGCAGAGAGATGCTATGTTACAAGCTGCACACAAACACCTTGAGGGTAAGTGGACTAGCAGTAGTAACTGTGTATTGCAAATCACTGTGCTTAGAGTAGTTCATTACAATGGTTAATAATTTTTTAAACACCCCAAGGTAGGGTGACCCCCACATATGAATATAGGGATTCAGAGACTTAGTAACTTTAAGCAAGCAGTTGTGGATAGCCAACTTGGCCATTTGGATGACACTAGAGAGCATGGACATTTGTGAGTGATACTAGAGTTTGGCTGTTGACTGTGATACTAGAGAGCATGAACATTTGGAAGGTGATCCTGGAGAGCATGGCCATTTAGGGGTGTTCTGGAGATCTTGGTAATTTAAGAGCAACCCCTGAAGAGCATGGCCATTTGCTGTGACACTATAGAGCCTAGTCATTTATGGGTGACCCAGGATAATATGGCTATTTAAGGGTAATCACAGAAAGCATGGTCATTTAAGAGGGAGTATATGTTGTGCTACTGTAGTTTTCTACAAGGTTTTGTGAACTTTATTCCAAATCCACCTACAGCACTACTATAAAATATAGTAATAGCAGTAAAGAAAATATAGAAATACAATATTTAGAATAACAATAAAATTTTGTGTAATATCAAGTATGGAGAATAACTCATTTCATACTGACATAAATTCATTTATTTTGTCTGCAGGCCTTTGTGAATGGACAGTACCTACTGGAGGAATGTTTCTCTGGCTAAAGGTCAGTAATGTGCACAACTTTTTCAGTAGTTAAAGTTAATAAATAGATTTATTTCTTATTTGACTGAATTCTTGTTATCTTCTTTCACTTTTGAGCTAAAAAATATGTTTGGCTATTAATGGAAATGTTAGAATTTTGTAAGAATAAGGTACATATATTTGTTATCTAATGTGCTTAATTGTTAATAATGTATGAAAAAAATAGTGGTTAACTTCTGAGATTATTTCCCAGAAAATTGACAAACTAACATTGCCTGGTTAAGAAATTTTGGACCATGTTATGACTGGACTGTTAAACTCACTCACTCTCATGCATGCTCACTCTCTCACTTTCTGTCTCTCCCACTCTGTCTCACTTTCACTCACTTTCTCTCGCCTTCTCATTCTCTCTCAATCTCACACTTGATTTCCGGGTAGGGTATGACAATTGGGCAGGTTTTTTTGCACCTTCCACTCAGTAAATACATACCTAAAATTAGTTTGAGCTTGTGGGGTTGCATCCTGAGGAGACCCAATTTGAAATTGCTGCTTTACTTTATTGGGTTATTCTGAATAAATAACTCTTGGGTTCGATAATCTTAAGGATGTCTTCTTTCTCTTCTTGGTGGTGAATTTGAAAATAAATATATATTTCTTGGCGGTATTTAGTAAACATAAACATTTTGTAAAATTATGAAAAATTTCACAAAGTGTTTTAATTTCAGGTACCAAAAATTTTCGACACATGGGACATGATTTTAGAGCGAGGTTTAAAGAAGGATGTTATGCTGGTGCCAGGGAAGGCTTTCATGTGTGATTCATCTCTACCCTCACAGTACATGAGAGCTGCCTTCTCAATGGTAACCCCAACAGCAATGGATAAGGTATAGTTATACTCATCCTTATTTGTACTTATACAGTGGACCCCCGACATTCGATGGCATCGACATTCGATAAATCCGACATTCGATGCATTTTAACGCAAAAATTTTGCCTCGACATTCGATGGAAAACCGACATTCGATACGATTCGTACGAGACATGTCCACGTGTGGCCTAAACTGCCCTATGTGTGCCAGTGTTTACAAGCCAGCCAGTGTGCGCACATCTAAGGATACATTTGGTACATTCCATGTTATCCATATTATCACTGTTTTTGGTGCTTGTTTCTGCAAAATAAGTAACCATGGGCCCCCAAGAAAGCTTCTAGTGCCAACCCTTCGAGAAAAAAGGTGCTAATGACTATTGAAATGGTGAAAGAGATAATTGCAAAGTACGAAAGTGGAGTGCGTGTGTCGGAGTGCATGATGATTTGATAAAGAAATTGCCTGCAACTAGTGGTGATGTGAGTGAATTTAATGCCAGCAAAGGTTGGTTTGAAAGATTTAAGAATTGTAGTGGCATACACAGTGTGGTAAGGCATGGTGAGGCTCCCAGTTCAAGTCCTAATGGAAGGGGATTACCCTTCTAAACACTAACACCATCCACACTCTCCCCTCCTCCCATCCCATCAATCATCACCAGGTCTTCATTAAAGGTAAGTGTCAATTATTCTATTGTTATTAATCTTTTGTTATTGTTGTTATTGTAATTATTCTATTGCATTAAACTTAATATTTCATGTGGTAAATTTTTTTTTTCTATACTTTTGAGTGTCTTGCACGGATTAATTTGATTTCCATTATTTCTTATGGGTAAAATTAATTCGACTTTCGATATTTCCGACATTCGATAGCTCTCAGGAACAGATTAGTATCGAATGTCGAGGGTCCACTGTATTTCATATCTCCTAGGTAGTAGGTTGGTAGACAGCAACAGCCCAGGGAGGTACTACCATCCTGCCAAGTGAGTATAAAACGAAAGCCTGCAATTGTTTTACATAATGGTAGGATTGCTGGTGTCCTTTTTTCTTCCTCATAAACATGCAAGATTTCAGGTATGTCTTGCTACTTCTACTTACACTTATGTCACACTACACATACATTTTTTTTTTTTTTTCAACAAGTCGGTCCGTCTCCCACCGAGGCAGGGTGACCCAAAAAAGAAAGAAAATCCCCGAAAAGAAAATACTTTCATCATCATTCAACACTTTCACCGCACTCACACATTATCACTGCTTTTGCAGAGGTGCTCAGAATACAATAGTTTAGAAGCATATACGTATAAAGATACACAACATATCCCTCCAAACTGCCAATATCCCAAACCCCTCCTTTAACCCTTTGACTGTTTCAGGCCCCTTTCTGAAACTGTCATTCTATGTCGCTAAATTTTTGAAAAAAAAAATTATTTTTTCTTATGAAATGATAGAGAATCTTTTCCCGATGGTAATGACACCAAAAGTTCGAGATTTGGTCAAAAACTCATGGAATTACGCTCCCGCGAAGTTAGCGGTCTCGTTGACATATGCGTATCGGCGATTTCGCTGACTTTGAGCCCTATTTTCAGCCAATTCCGTTGTTCCAGTTGACCAAACTCATAGCTATTTCTTTAGAACTCCATTTTATCTATCTGCTGAGTACAAGAAACCTCCCATTTACCAATTTGGACTACCCAGTATTGTGGTCAGAAATTGGCAATTTGGCCAATTTCACGCAAACTAAAAAAGATGCCAATTTCAAAATAGGGTCCAAAATAAACAAGGTAGACATTCTTGGCACTAAAATAACATATCCTCTGTTCATTAGTCACATCTCTAGACCCATCTTATATTATTATTGCTTTCTATTTTAATTTTTTATTCATACAAAAAAATACAAAATTTACTGTTGTGCAGACTACTGCATTATTGTAAAAATGGTATAAATAATATCAGTGCACTAGTGAAAGAATATTAGACTCCCCAGTTGACGTGTATTGGACGTGTGGTGTGATTTGTTTACTCCTGAACATTGGTAAAAATCGAACATTTCCGCTACTTTGAGCTCAGTTTCAAGGTCGTTTTTATTGTCAAAGTAATAAAAATCATCTCTATTTCTGTAATATGTTTTCCATTTTATCACCTAAGACCATGAAAACGCAAATACATCGATAAATACTATACGAAAATACACCTCAAAGTCGGCGTTTTAATCCAAAAAAACGATCAGAGTTTTTTTTTTTCTCATTACGCACTGTGTGCTGCAGAATTTTTTTATGTGGTGCACACTGACCACACAGACCCATTCTCTCACATGTGGGCCTACCAGCTTTCGTCTGCTTGATTTGAAGCCGCTAGAATTATTGAGTATATATACGTCTGAAACACTGGCTCGTAAGACGTATATATACGACCAAAACAGTCAAAGGGTTAAAGTGCAGGCATTGTACTTCCCATTTCCAGGACTCAAGTCCGACTATATGAAAATAACCGGTTTCCCTGAATCCCTTCACTAAATATTACCCTGCTCACACTCCAACAGATCGTCAGGTCCGAAGTATCATTCGTCTCCATTCACTCCTATCTAACACGCTCATGCACACTTGCTGGAAGTCCAAGCCCCTTGCCCACAAAACCTCCTTTACCCCCTCTTTCCAACCCTTTCGAGGACGACCCCTACCCCTCCTTCCTTCCCCTATAGATTTATATGCTTTCCATGTCGTTCTACTTTGATCCATTCTCTCTAAATGACCAAACCACCTCAACAACCCCTCTTCTGCCCTCTGACTAATACTTTTATTAACTCCACACCTTCTCCTAATTTCCACACTCCGAATTTTCTGCATAATATTTACACCACACATTGCCCTTAGACAGGACATCTCCACTGCCTCCAACCGTCTCCTCGCTGCTGCATTTACCACCCAAGCTTCACATCCATATAAGAGTGTTGGTACTACTATACTTTCATACATTCCCTTCTTTGCCTCCATAGATAACGTTTTTTGACTCCACATATACCTCAACGCACCACTCACCTTTTTTCCCTCATCAATTCTATGATTAACCTCATCCTTCATAAACCCATCCGCCGACACGTCAACTCCCAAGTATCTGAAAACATTCACTTCTTCCATACTCCTCCTCCCCAATTTGATGTCCAATTTTTCTTTATCTAAATCATTTGATACCCTCATCACCTTACTCTTTTCTATGTTCACTTTCAACTTTCTACCTTTACACACATTCTCAAGCTCATCCACTAACCTTTGCAATTTTTCTTTAGAATCTCCCATAAGCACAGTATCATCAGCAAAAAGTAACTGTGTCAGTTCCCATTTTGAATTTGATTCCCCATAATTTAATCCCACCCCTCTCCCGAACACCCTAGCATTTACTTCTTTTACAACCCCATCTATAAATATATTAAACAACCATGGTGACATTACACATCCCTGTCTAAGACCTACTTTTACCGGGAAGTATTCTCCCTCTCTTCTATATACCCTAACCTGAGCCTCACTATCCTCCTAAAAGCTCTTTACAGCATTTAGTAACTTACCACCTATTCCATATACTTGCAACATCTGCCACATTGCTCCTCTATCCACTCTATCATATGCCTTTTCTAAATCCATAAATGCAATAAAAACTTCCCTACCTTTATCTAAATACTGTTCACATATATGCTTCAATGTAAACACTTGATCTACATATCCCCTACCCACTCTGAAGCCTCCCTGCTCATCTGCAATGCTACATTCTGTCTTACCTCTAATTCTTTCAATTATAACCCTACCGTATACTTTTCCTGGTATACTCAGTAAACTTATTCCTCTATAATTTTTACAATCTCTTTTGTCCCCTTTCCCTTTATATAAAGGGACTATACATGCTCTCCGCCAATCCCTAGGTACCTTCCCCTCTTTCATACATTTATTAAACAAAAGTACCAACCACTCCAACACTATATCCCCCCCCTGCTTTTAACATTTCTGTCATGATCCCATTAGTTCCAGCTGCTTTACCCCCTTTCATTCTACGTAATGCCTCACGTACCTCCACCACACTACATTCTGCTCTTCTTCACTCCTAAAAGATGGTATACCTCCCTTGCCAGTGCATGAAATTACCGCCTCCCTTTCTTCCTCAACATTTAAAAGTTCATCAAAATATTCTCGCCATCTACCTAATACCTCCCTCTCCCCATCTACTAACTCCCCTACTCTGTTTTTAACTGATAAATCCATACTTTCCCTAGGCTTTCTTAACTTGTTTAACTCACTCCAAAATTTTTTCTTATTTTCATTAAAATTTCTTGACAGTGCCTCTCCCACTCTTTCATCTGCTCTCCTTTTGACACTCTCTCACCACTCTCTTCACCTTTCTTTTACTCTCCATATACTCTGCTCTTCTTATAACACTTCTGCTTTGTAAAAACCTCTCGTAAGCTACCTTTTTCTCTTTTATCACACCCTTTACTTCATCATTCCACCAATCGCTCCTCTTTCCTCCTGCCCCCACCCTCCTATAACCACAAACTTCTGCCCCACATTCTAATACTGCATTTTTAAAACTATTCCAACCCTCTTCAACCCCCCCACTACTCATCTTTGCACTAGCCCACCTTTCTGCCAATAGTCGCTTATATCTCGCCCTGAACTTCCTCCTCCCTTAGTTTATACACTTTCACCTCCCTCTTACTTGTTGTTGCCACCTTCCTCTTTTCCCATCTACCTCTTACTCTAACTGTAGCTACAAGCATATATATATACACACACACCCCTCTGGTTTTCTGCTATTTTCTTTCTAGTTCTTGTTCTTGTTTATTTCCTCTTATCTCCATGGGAAAGTGGAACAGAATTCTTCTTCCGTAAGCCATGCATGTTGTAAGAGGCGACTAAAATGCCGGGAGCAAGGGGCTAGTAACCCCTTCTCCCGTATAAATTACTAAATTTAAAAAGAGAAACTTTTGTTTTTCTTTTTGGGCCACCCTGCCTTGGTGGGATATGGCCGGTTTGTTGAAAGAAGATTTCATATCTGTACCTAAATGTCTCCAAGGGGATGTGGAGAAGAATCCTTCCTCCGTAAGCTATGCATACTGTATAGCAGTTATTTTTTGCATCATCTGTCCCCATTTATATAAACTTTTCAATTTACCTATTTTTGATGGAGTACATGTGAGGAGTTCTATTTTTCATATATTGTATTTTTTGTTTCAGGGATTCCAAAGTCTAGCAGAACTGATTCATGAAGAAATTGCTCTACAAGAGACTAATGCATCTAACTGACTAACCATCAGTAAATAAATATATAAAATATTATATATTAAAATACAGTTCATCTTAATTTTCAATGAAAGAAGCACTCAATTAATTTTCTAGTCTTATTACATGGTAATATTAGCCTGATGGAAAAGGCTTGTTGGGTAAGTACTTTGCAATACAGAACTGTGCTCTATCTCTCAGATAAATGCAGTTGTTTGTGCTAGAATTCATCTTATATATTTATAAAAATCAAGGTGTGAGCAATGTGATATCTGCGAAATGATTTGCTGGACTTAAATTAGACTGAAGGTGGATTGGAAGTGGAAGGCACAGTACCTGTACATTGAGGGAGGGGTGAAGATGTTGCAGTTCATTGAATTATAAAAATTGTGATGTCTGTGCACTCTTACTCTTGGCAAGACAGCTATTGAATAAGTCAGAAGTTTTTAATATGTGTTCCACAGAACTCTAATGTTCTGCAGGAACTTGATGGAGAGAGGAGGAGGAGGAGGAGGAGGAGGAGAGGGATATGATAAAATAGCATTGACTGGCAGCTAGTGGGAAAACAGTAGGAAACAGAAACCCACATTGTCAACAAGCACTAGTCTGATTGATTTGGTGATTTTTTAATTTATTAGTTTAGTTGGGTTTGCCTTGTTTAACTGAAGTTGCTGTGGGATGAAAGTGTTATTACTCTTGTATTACTATTATGTGCTGGTGGATACACACTATGTTTAAATAAAACAACATTGCCATGCTCTTGCATGCATTGCTGGCTACAAACTAGTAAACTTAGTGAGGACTGAAATAATGTGAAAACGTTTTAATTCTGATGCTGCTGCTTCTATTTCTACTTTTTTGTATGTCATTATTCTAGCACATTTATCTGATGTGAAGACGATGTAATCAGTCCATCACCCTTGAAGTCGTAGATAGTTCCTGACTATGGAACTGAACTTCTCCAGGCTGAGGGACTGACAACCTCAAATTCTACATTTATCTGATGCCAGATATTCTAAAAATTTAAGCTCAATCACAAGCAAGAAATGAAAGCATGACAATGGCTATATCAGATTGTTTTACATGGAATGGTAATAAAGAGAAACCAAATAGACTGTGTTGAATGAGAACAAGTTTTGAGTACCTGTAGTCTGATTCCTGCAGAATTTTGAAGACATCTTGCAACCAAACATCCTGCCATGAAAGATAAAATTGATGAATACTGTATTTGAAAGGAAAATTTGCCAAACTTCTTGAGAAAGGAAATGCTTTATGCAGAATGAGTGGTATAAAGCCTCATGATCTTCAACTGCCAAATGAGCTACACCTGGATATAAGTCACTTTGACTTTTTTTGGGTTATCCTAGTTCTCTAAACATGCTGCTATGTATGACAATCTCTATAACTGTATTTGTGCATACCTGAATAAACTTACTTACAGGTGAAGCTTATACTATCACAGAAAGTGTTGAATATATGATCATAAAGAAAAATTTACAGAGAAAATGAGTGTAACACTCTGATGTATTGAGGATTTGTCGGCTTTTTGTGAAGCAGAACTAATAAGAAGAGTAAAACTGAGTCTGTTAGATTTCTAACTGCAAATGGAGGACTCCATTGATATCAGAAGTTTAGAACCATTACTTGTGTTTGCGTACTATACAGTTGCTCAACTTACAATAGTTCATCTTACGATATTTCGCCTTTGCGATGATGCAAAAACAATTACTTTGGAGATGAAACTTAATTACCCAGGATAAAAGCGGCAAATCCTTAACTTGTATTAATTTATTTACTTCTCAATATTGGTACTTAGTTATAGTAATTATCTGTTTATTTACTAATTTATCGTATCGTATTAGACTTATGGTGGGTTTGTCAGAAGGTAACCGCATTGTAAGTTGAGAAGCACCTGTATACCATACATGAATTATCTGTTGAAGAAGACTATTTATTTGTAATCTTACCAAAACCATGGGTGAAATATTCAGTTTGATAAACTCTTTCATGAAGAAACATAAAATATCTTGATGTCCATGTTCCAGTGTGTGCACCAATGGAACTATATCTATAGAGGAAAAAATATCAGGTGCTGTGGCATGCATAACATTATAGCTCCACGTACTGAGCATAACCACTGTCATCTTCGTTATCAGCACTTGTGATTAAATGAATGCCACAAGAACTAAAATATGCACTTAATGAGCTTATCAAAATTGTTAATTTTATTAAGTAAGAGTAGTCATTTCCAGGATATATAGTACACTGAGACGAAGTGGGAAGTTTGCATCAAATATCTGTTTCATATCAAATTTCAGTGGCTGTCGTGTGGAAAAGTATTGGTTCAGTCTTATGAGTTGTGAGAAGAGTTAAGTCTTATTTTTTTTATCATAATGTCCTCTTGAACTATCACATAAGTGATAAATGTTGGACATAGGTGGTGGCATACTTGGGCTGATATAATTACATATCTCCACAAACTTTATAGAATTTTTTATTAACAAATGAAGTTTCCCCCTCAGTGAAAATGTCAAAATTTTGTGATACTCCTTTCTGATTTTCAGACTACATTTAGGAAATACTTTCCTCCTTTAACAGGATGATAAATGAGACACTTGTGCAATTGTTGAGTATCTTTATTTCCCTAACCAGTTTTTCTTTAACTATTAAAAATCACTACAGCAGTAACTGTAAAAGTCCTCACATTTAACTGTATTTTAACTATTAAAAATCACTACAGCAGTAACTGTAAAAGTCCTCACATTTAACTGTATTTTGCATTAAAATCTTTAATTTTATGATAAATATGCTATTTTTATGCTTTTCTTTTATAGTGTACATAGGTCAATAAAAACAGATTGCTATACTGTATATTTTTGTCAAATTGACAATTGTATATGTACATTTTATATACAGTATTATATGAAGTAGCATAAATTGTGTTGTTTTAGCATTTGCATTGTATCATTAAAATTTTACCTTTTGGTCAAGGTAGCAGGATAGGAGTGAATGGAGACGAATGGTATTTGGGACCTGACGAGCTGTTGGAGTGTGAGCAGGGTAATATTTAGTGAAGGGATTCAGGGAAACCGGTTATTTTTATATAGCCGGACTTGAGTCCTGGAAATGGGAAGTACAATGCCTGCACTCTAAAGGAGGGGTTCAGGATATTGGCAGTTTGGAGGGATATGTTGTGTATCTTCATACGTATATGCTTCTAAACTGTTGTGTTCTGAGCACCTCTGCAAAAACTGATTATGTGTGAGTGAGGTGAAAGTGTTGAATGATGATGAAAGTATTTTCTTGTTGGGGATTTTCTTTCTTTTTGGGTCACCCTGCCTCGGTGGGACACGGCCGACTTGTTAAAAAAAAAAAGGTTCCTTGACTTCCAACAGATAGGAAACTTTTGTGATAAGTGGTGAATGTGTTTCCTCTTTGGGTCACCTTATCTTAGTGGAAAATAGCTACTGTGGTTAAGGAAAGAATCAAGGCTTCAATAAATTTTAATTAAAAAGAAATTCAGACAGTATCAAGCCAGTTGGTATTGTATATCTACAGTGTTTCTTGGGTAAGAGAAGACCAGAGGCACTCTACATGACTGAGAAGATACATAAATACTGATGCATTAACAGAATATTCTATAAGTTTAATAAGTTAATACACAGTTTGCCAAGGTTAGAGAATACTTGATTAGTGCTGCCTAGTGTTGGTGCCAAAACTTAGTATTTGCTATTAGCAGTTGTGGCACCTTTATTTGTACTGTCAGTAGCTCGTTACATTCAATGCAAACAGTCCATCTATGCAGAGATGTAAGCCTGTGGTTTCTTGCCTGATTTTTTTCTTATTCTTCCAACAACTTTATCAATTTTATTTCATTCACAACTTGAGACTGCTTCATTCAAGCACTTTCAAATTTTCAGTACTTGTGTAGGGCAATGGGGACCGAGTTCTTGGGACAATTGGCATGTTCATGTGCCTTATGATCAAAGCTATTGAACCCATTTCCTGCATCCTGGAATGGATTGGATAACTTCCGCACCTTCAGTGGTGTGGTTTCAAATGTTAAAAGAAATGAACAATGGAGGAGAGTAAAATTCAAATACGTAGGTGCAAATTTGATGATTTTGTGTAAAATAGTGTGTGACGTTTTTCTCATTAAATCGCATTAAAAATTTTCATTTTCTTCTGGACAACTTTAATATTTAATGGCTGATGTATCTTAAGGCCAAGATAATACCTATTAAGTTTTATTTGCATGCTGACAGTTATGCTGATGTAGTAAAATTGTAAAATCCTGGAATCGGAATTTTTGCCATAACTGGAGAATAACTCGTCTGATTGATTTCAAATTTTAACCAAGGTGTGATGTCCTGAACACAAGGCTCAGAGTGCTAATGAGTGTCATAAGTGCCAGTTTGCGAGTTTTATTGAATGAATAGTGATGTTCATTTTTTATTCAATAACTCAAGAATGTTTCTTCTGATTGGCTTCAAAATATTATTGGAGATGTATTCTATAAGGATGATACCCCATGAGTTTAATCTGAGTAGGTGCAAATTTGAAAATTTACTGACATAGTTAAAAAACTTGGATTATTATTATTATTATTATAATCAAAAGGAAGCTCTACATCAATGAAAAAAAAAATTAGAATCATTATTATTATTATTATTAAAGATTCGCCGGTATTTTCTCCCGGCCCGGGCCTTTTCCAAGTGGTGGCCCGGCCTTGGCTCCCTCTTTAGGGAGTGTCTGAGACCTAAGTCTCCCATGGGAGGAGGCACAAGTACCCCCTCATCTTTGGGACCAACTCTCCCCAGGCCTAGCTACAAGCTAGGCTTCTCTGGTCTGCCATCCCCGCCCCAAGGGGGCTAATGGGAATGACAGTCTTGTGAGCTGTAAGCTCGGGCTCAGGCACCTACCCTACCCTAGAAGGGCTGGGCATGGTGTCGATGATTAGAATCATTGAAATCAGATCAATTACTGGAGAATACCATTTGTGATTGGCTTTAAACTTTTACCATTGGTGGGCTGTTAAAACGTGAAGGAAATTAGACACATGCAACACCTGGGTATATTGTAGACGTTTAGCAATCCAGTGGCTTTATTAACCCTTAAACTGTCCAAACGTAGATCTATGTTTGCACGCGTAACGCTCCGAACGTAGATCTACGTTCGATTTTACATTATGTAAAAAAAAACAGATCTACATTCGATTTTACATTATGCAAAAAAAAAACGTAGATCTACGTTTGGAGCGCTACACATGCAAATGTAGATCTACGTTTGGGCAGTTTAAGGGTTAATACAAATTCAAGGACATAATTGGAAAGTCAGTAGAACTATATACAAAAGATGAGGTAATCAGTCCCTCAGTTTTGGAGTTGGTGTGAATTATTATAATCATAACTAAGTGCTAAACCCATAAGGGTCATGCAGCGCTGCCTGGAGTGGATCCTGTAGCTTGATTGCTAGTATGCTCGTCTCACACTAAGGTTCAAAGTTCGAGCTCCCTGTACGGCTGGAAAACATTAGGACGTGTTTCCGTAAGACACCTGCTGCTCATGGTCACCCATCAGTATAAAATGGGTACCTGGGTGTTAGTCGACTGGTGTGGGTTGCATCCTGGGTCAAAATTTACCTAATTTGCCCGAAATATTCTACATAACAAGCGGCTTTCCATAAAGTAATGTCATCGGTATCAGCTAGGCCTATATACCTTGTACATGTAGAGTAATAATAATAATACTATCTTTTTTTACATGTACATGGTATAAAGGCCTACCTGACATCAATGACATACTACTATACAGAAAGCCGCTTGTTATGCAGAACATTTCGGGCAAATTAGGTCAGTTTTGCCCCAGGATGCGACTCACACCAGTCGACTAACACCCAGGTTCCTATTTTACTGATGGGAAACAAACAGCCGGCGCAAAGAAACGCCCAATGTTTCTATCCTCGCTGGGTATCGAACCGAGACCCTCGCCGTGTGAAGCGAGAGCTTTAACCACCAGGCGAGGGGCTTTTTATGCAGGGAATTGTAACTACTATCTACTTCAATTAAACCTAATTGCCACCCGTTCCTCAGGTGTTGTATGATCCCTTTGGGTTTGCACCTCCATGAATTTTATGTGATAGCTGTATAGCCCTTGTGGTTTAGCGCTTCTTTTTTATTATAATAATATAATGCGATGTCAGGGAATTTTAAGTTAGTTTTCACTTAAAATGGTCTGGTGGGTGGGTTTGTGCGGCCTCAGGACCGTTGCAGCCCATCACCTCCCATTTATTTATTTATTTATTAACAATTATGAGCATACATACAGAGGTACAAAAAAATACAGATAAGAGCAGCATGCCAAAGCCACTTATACTATGCACAATGCTGTCATTATTAAATCTATTACTTGTCCATAAGTAACAGTGCTGGATATAAACCCAGTAAAAACAATAAAAATATCACAATACATAATGTCTGTGCCTTTCTCTGGAATATATGAAGTAACAGCTGATGACTAAGAGAGTATAAGGGATATTTTGTGATTGGTTTATTTAAGGTTGGCACGCCATACAAAGGAGTTGAGGACCAATGATGGAGCTGGACGTGAAGTAGAGTTTACAACGTTGTTCCTATTGGTGGAAAGGAATGCTTCCCGCGTTTTTCCCAGATTTTGCGGCGCCTTGAATCACTGTCAGAGCCGCCACCTTGGTGTTGGTCCTTGCTGCTTGTCTCTACTGCTTAACTGCCCTACTAACGTCTTACAATGGTTCAAAATATTCACAAGATGTGGTCCAAGATGTATGTTCTTAAAAGAGGTATGTAACATAGTTGTAATTTCACTGCAGTTTAGATTCAGGCTGTAATTATTGCTATTTGAGTCACAAAAATTCACTGATTTTTGATCAGTAACTAGAATTTCATGTAATAATCATAAGAATATAACATTATTTGTATATTGTGTAAGTAGATTATGTTGAATGACTGAGGCCCCTCAAGGAAGGTTCCTTGATGTTGGTGAGGGGCTCTTGATTTAGGGAATTGGATCTGTGCTCCAGTTCCCCGAATTAAGCCTGAATGCCTTCCACATATCCCCCCCCAGGCGCTGTATAATCCTCCGGGTTTAGCGCTTCCCCCTTGATTATAATAATAATAATGAATGACTGAGGAAATACTCTTGCATACTTTAAGTTAAGGTCAACGGTTGCAACAGTGGAGTTCGTTTCCTGTTGTTGCTTCCCTGTTGTTTCTCTGCATTCCTTTCCTTTTTTTTCTATTGAGGAATATTTAGAAAGCATTATCATTTGTTTATGATCAGTTTTTATTGTGTTGACATTTTACTGTTAAGTGATAAAATTTTCTAAAAGGTGCATAAAAGCTATATTATACACCCCAACCACACATTCAGTCCCTCACTCAGGAAATCAACCCAAGTGAGGTTTCTAAATGCTGCTGACAATCATGGCGCCAGATTTTTTATTATGGGGGAAGGTGGGTGGCTAGGAGATTTTTTTGAAGCATTCTTATTTTATTTGGGGAGCTGAAGCCCCCCTTGAGGCTTCTGGGTAAGGGACTCCCGATCTTTAGGAATTATACTGGACCTTCATTGGATCAAACCTAACTTTTTTTTCTCCAGGTGCTGGATAACCCCTATGGGTTTAGCAGTTCAGTGAAATCCTAATCTGGAAATTCATTGCTAACACCAAGTAAATTTTATTTATTTTTTTATTATCACACTGGCCGATTCCCACCAAGGCAGGGTGGCCCGAAAAAGAAAAACTTTCACCATCATTCACTCCATCACTGTCTTGCCAAGAAGGGTGCTTTACACTACAGTTTTTAAACTGTAACATTAACACCCCTCCTTCAGAGTGCAGGCACTGTACTTCCCATCTCCAGGACTCAAGTCCGGCCTGCCGGTTTCCCTGAACCCCTTCATAAATGTTACTTTGCTCACACTCCAACAGCACGTCAAGTATTAAAAACCATTTGTCTCCATTCACTCCTATCAAACACGCTCATGCATGCCTGCTGGAAGGTCCAAGCCCCTCGCACAACAAAACCTCCTTTCCCCCCTTTCTCTCCAACCTTCCTAGGCCGACCCCTACCCCCCCTTCCTTCCACTACAGACTGAAAACACTCTTAAAGGGTCATTCTGTTTCGCTCCATTCTCTCTACATGCCGAACCACCTCAACAACCCTTCCTCAGCCCTCTGGACAACAGTTTTGGTAATCCCGCACCTCCCTAACTTCCAAACTACGAATTCTCTGCATTATATTCACACCCACAACATTGCCCTCAGACATGACATTCCACTGCCTCCACCCTTTCCTCCTCGCTGCAACATTCATCACCCACGCTTCACACCCATATAAGAGCGTTGTAAAACTATACTCTCATACATTCCCCTTTTTGCCTCCAAGGACAAAGTTCTTTGTCTCCAACAGACTCCTAAGTGCACCACTCACTCTTTTCCCCTCATCAATTCTATAATTCACCTCGTCTTTATAGACCCATCTCCCTGACACGTCCACTCCCAAATATCTGAATACAATCACCTCCTCCATTACTCTCTCCCTCCAATCTGATATTCAATCTTTTTATCACCTAATCTTTTTGTTATCCTCATAACCTTAAATCTTTTCCCGTATTCACCTTTAATTTTCTTCTTTTGCACACCCTACCAAATTCATCCACCAAACTCTGCAACTTCTCTTCAGAATCTCCCAAGAGCACAGTGTCATCAGCAAAGAGCAGCTGCGACAACTCCCACTTTGTGTGTGATTCTTTATCTTTTAACTCCACGCCTTTGCCAAGACCCTCGCATTTACTTCTCTTACAACCCCATCTATAAATATATTAAACAACCACGGTGACATCACACATCCTTTTCTAAGGCCTACTTTTACTGGGAAAAAAATTTCCCTCTTTCCTACATACTCTAAATTGAGCCTCACTATCCTCGTAAAAACTCTTCACTGCTTTCAGTAACCTACCTCCTACACCATACACTTGCAACATCTGCCACATGCCCCTATCCACCCTGTCATACGCCTTTTCCAAATCCATAAATGCCACAAAGACCTCTTTAGCCTTATCTAAATACTGTTCACTTATGTTTCACTGTAAACACCTGGTCCACACACCCCCTACCTTTCCTAAAGCCTCCTTGTTCATCTGCTATCCTATTCTCCGTCTTACTCTTAATTCTTTCAATAATAACTCTACCATACACTTTACCAGGTATACTCAGCAGACTTATCCCCCTATAATTTTTGCACTCTCTTTTATCCCCTTTGCCTTTATACAAAGGAACTATGCATGCTCTCTGCCAATCCCTAGTAAATTTGTTTACAATAATAAAACTGCTTCATGAATTCCCCCTAAGGACAGTTCCTTGATGCTGCATAGGGGGAAAAGATCCAAAAATTGGGCTTGTCCTCCCCTTTCTTGGATCATACCTGATTGCCTTCCTTTCCCAAGGTACTGCATGACCCCTATAGGTTTATTGCTTCCACATAATATAATTCTTTGACCCAATCTTAATCTTACTGGATCTACCCTTTTCCTTTGATCAAATTTAATTGCCTTCTATTCCCCAGACGTGTGAACCCTATGGGTTTAGCATTGCTCACAATTATGTAATATTGCTATAAATATGAACTGTCATAGAAATGATAAAATTATAGCTGTCTGCTAACTTGACTGGTAGGAAAGCTTGCCGACAAAACAGCATTTTTGTGTATCACTCGGAACATTGAGAAACATTGTAGGCTAATTGTTAACATTAATAGTAACACTTAGAATGCCTACACATAAGTGTGCTTGTGACTCACTTCGTAGAAGCCTCAGTTCATACTGAGATGGGTTGGGTCCTTGGACAAGCGTAAATATTGGGCATATCCAAGATACTGGGATCCTCTCTAAGATACGATACTACGTGCCACAAAATGCCCTTCTCACACTATACCACTCGCTTATTTATCCATACCTCACCTATGCTATTGGTGCTTGGGGTTCAACTGCAGCAACACACCTAAAGCCAATAATAACCCAACAAAAAGCCGCAGTAAGAATAATCACTAAATCCCATCCCTGGCAACACACCCCCCCACTCTTCATAGATCTAAACTTACTCCCTGTTCAGTACATCCACACTTACTACTGTGCAATCTACATCTACAGGACCTTAAATTGCAATATTAACCTTGACCTAAAACACTTTCTTGATAATTGTGACAGAACCCACAGGCATAACACCAGACACAAACATCTGACATTCCCCGTGTCCAACTAAACCTTTACAAAAATTCAATGTATGTCAAAGGCCCTAAAATCTGGAACACCCTACCTGTAAACTCTAGAACTGCAGACACATTCATCACCTTCAAAACTACCATTAGAAAACATCTTATCTCCCTGATACACCCCGTCAGTAACTAATTACACGAATACCACCTGGTGGTTCACACTTACACTCACTCACCCATTTGACCATAAACAGAAATATCAATCTCAATCTTAAAATAATGAATCCTAACTAGTCATAAGTTGGCCTGTGATACTCCAATACTGAAATTATGTATTGTGCCAAAACAAAAGCATTCACATTGCTAAACTCACAAACTAGTATTTAGTCACTTAGCCATAATACCAACTTGCCTCATAATTTGTAATATTTTAAAGTTAACCCTTTGAGGGTCGACAGGCCCTCTCCGAAACTCGTTCTCAGGGTCGGCCAAATTTAAAAAAAAAAAAAATTATTTTCTCTTATGAAAAGATAGAGAATCTTTTCCCGATCATAAAGACACCAAAAGTTTGAAATTTGATAGAAAACTTACGGAATTATGCTCTCGCAAAAGGGTTAGCGGTCTCGGCGATGTTTACGCATCGGCGATTTTGCCTACTTTGAGCCCCATTTTCGGCCAATTTAAACTGTACTAGTCGACAAAAAAACATGAATATTTCGCTAGAACCCATTTTTCTATCGAAGGGTGCAAGAAAAAACCACTCATTTATGAAATCAAACTATCCAGTACAGTGTCAAATTTTAGCAATTTGCAAATTTCACAAAATTTCAAAAGGAAGCCAATTCCGAATAGGGTCCAGAATAAACAAAAGACATCTGGCACAAAAGACATTTCCTCTAGACATTATCATGTCTCAAGGCCCCTCTTAATTCTTTTGTTTCCACTTTAAATTTTTTTAAATTTTTACAAAAAATATAAGATTTACTGTTATGCAGACTACTGCATTAGTGTAAAAAGGGTTTATAAATATATTATTGGTGCACTTGTGAAAGAATATTAGCTCCCAGTTGACGTGTTTTGGGCACGCTTGGCACAATTTGTTTACTTTGAAGTTTGGTAAAAATTGAACATTTCTGCTACTTTGAGCTCAAAATTTTAAGGCACCTTTCTTTGTTAAAACCAGTCAAAAAACATCTCAATTTCTGAATATGTCTTCCATTTATAAAATGAGACCAAGAAAACTAGAATACAAACAATAAGTACCATACGAAAAATACACTGCAAAGTCGCTGATTTATTCAAAAAAATGGTAAAAGTTTTTTTTTTCTCATTATGCACTGTGTGCTGCATGATTTTTTTTAGACTGTGCACACTGACCACATAGACCCATTCTTTCATATGAAGGCCTACCAGCTTTCTCCCACTAGATTTGAGGCCGCTAGAATTTATGAGTACTAGTACGTCAAAAACCCCTACGCGTAAGACGTACTAGTACGACGAAAACCCTCAAAGGGTTAAGAATTAATCTGTCTGCCTGAAATGCCTAGCCATGCTAGGTGTTCTAGTG